AGAAGTAAGTCCTAAGTTTTTAAAATCAAGACGTGTTGTCCTATATTACGCATTCAAGCGGATAGCCATTAAGTCACAACGAGTTAGATTTTAACTGATTGTTTTTAAATTTATTAACTCCTCAACTAATAATTTCTGTAATTTAACTCATAAATATCAAGTTTATAACTTAGTTTAAAATAGACAAAATTTAATAATTCCATTTCGAGTTTCTATATAATAGTAATAGTACACTAATAAAAATTTAACTAAATTAATACTTATCAATTTAAAAATTTTAATTTAGAGTGAATATAAACTATAACTTCTTTCTATAATTCAACCAAATGAAACATAATTTTGAACTTTGTGATGGCTAAAGTCATTGATGGCTAAACTAGTCCAAAAGAATATACTAATTAAAGTATATACTATTATCTTAAAAGCTTTGCATTCATATTCTTATTCTGAACATGCAAAATTGTAAATTTGGGACATCAAATCCAACACTCAAGTAGAGATATTTAACTAACTTGCCACATTGAGTAAAAATAGCAAAAAGACATTTGATTCAATGTAATGCACAATAACCATTCCATAAATCAACCTTCATTTTTAGTCAATCAAATTAATCTGTTCCCTTGCTCTCACCCTGATCTGGAAATTCACCCAATCACAATCTAACAGGTAACCAAGAACACCGTCTTACCTTCTCAGCACACAACACCGAAACCACCAAAAAAGAAAAAAGAAAAAAGGGAGATTTCTCTGTTGGGTTAAGTTTTCAAGCTTTAGCCCCCAAAATCTCAACATATAAATGTACCGCAAAAACTACAACCTTTTTCCGGCTCTCGGCTTTCCATCCCATTGTGGCCGCTGCCTCCACCGTCATACCCAAAACCCTAATTTTTCATCTTGTACTCTGTGAACGTAGATACCCATATCCAATCTTGGTTGTTTTTTGGGTTTTGTATCAGAATAAGGTGATGGAGGCTGCAGTGGGGCAAAAGCACAAGCACCTGGAGTTCGTTTTGGCTTCGGTGTGTGAGCTTTCTGCCTCTGCGGTTCCTTCGTCGGTGCCGGTGGTTGCTCGGTTCTGTGCCGACGGTGGCGTTGCGGAGCTTCGATTTCACACAGAGTCGGAGTCTGTTGATGGGTTCAACGTCGATCTCAGAACTGCTCAGGTTAGTGTTCTGCTTGTAGGTTGATTGTTTTGGGTTGTTGAGAAACTGGGAGCTTTGAAAAGTGAAAGATACAACATTTTAGCGCCTGCCCCTTTTTGGTTTTGTCGAGAAAGATGGAAAATATGATGGCAATGTGGAGGGAAAAAAGAGTTCTTTGTTGGATTAGTTGTGGAAGTTTCGATTTTTACATGAATGTGCTGATCTGGAGGCGATTTCGAAGTGCTAGCTTTGGAGCTTTTCAATTATTTTTTTGTTTGGTTAGTTGCTGAGAGAGCGTGGTGGATAAAGGATAGTAACACTATACAGTATCATGTTTCTGTCGCTTTTTATTGGAATATACTAAGATCACTGTAAGCTGTAATTTTAGACTTGAAATTTTCTCTGGTATGAAAATATATATATTTTTAGTTTTTAATTCTCTGAAACTGGGAAATTTATGTTTTTTTTTTTTTTCTTTTATAAGCGAAATAGCTTTAAAGGGTATAATGTGATTGGAGATATGTTTTGATGTTGCTCAGCTATTCAAGTTAGGGCCTTTGCAATCAGTTTGTATTTCTGAAGGTTCCAATACCAATAAAGAGGTATGTGAATGATATCATTCAATTTTAAAGTTCAATGTCCTCTAGTTCTTTACCTTGTTTTATATGGAAATAACAGTAATGGTTTAACTGTATAACTTTCGAACCAGAAATCATATTCAAGGGGAGTCACAATTCAATTTGGAAATGTGGAGGAGAGCAAGGACTTCCATTCTGCATTTGAACAATGGAAGAATGAAGTTGTTCAAGGTTCTGTTTATGAAATTTGCTTTTAATTTACATGGAGAAGTTCTCTGCCATTTACATACTACATAGAATGAAGTCAGTCACATCCTACCAAATCTTCTGCATCTATTGTTCATTTCTTTTTTAATTGTTCTATATTATCATTTATTAAGTGGTTATGGAAGTTTGTGCATGGATTATCTACCAGATCTTTTAAAGTCAAACTAAAAAGATGCTTCTGTTTGTATCATATGTATGCTATTAATTGCTAATCTGAATATCTTATTTACTAAAACACGCCATCTAGCCTTTTTTTTTTTTTTTTTTTTTTTTTTGGTTCCTTGTACTCTCTATGTCTGAGAACATAGAACAAGAATGTGAAAAGGTTAATAACTAGTATTGCTTTGTGAAAAGCATGCCTTTTATAACAGACAGATGGCAAATAGTGCTTCATACCTGGTTGTAATAAAATAAATTTGCTCTAAATGGCCCCATATTAAATTTTGTTAATCTTGCAAATCAATGGAATGTTGTCAAAATCGGTTGCTGATTTCAGTCTTTATAAGTCAAACTTATAAGAGTAAGAGGTGAATGGTTCTTGGTAGTTTAAGGGTCCAAATCTTTACATGAAAAACATGAGAACAAAAAAAAAGAAGATATTAGACCTATTGCCATGCTGATAATTTCTAGCTATATTTTCAAAGATTATATGCAGTGTTCCATTGAGTTGTTTATCTGAACTTGCGTGTTGGCATTTTTCACTTACAAGTTCTTTTCTTTTATCTCTACAGGAACATGTTTACCAAATGGAGAAATTTCAGCTAGCAGAAGCAAATTTGATGATAAAATAGAGCCATCTTCTGCAAAAATGTATTTCCATTATTATGGGCAATTGTTACATCAACAGAACATGTTGCAGGATTATGTGAGAACAGGTTATATGAAGCATATATGTTTTGTACCCCCTTTGATCTAGTATTAACCTTTTGCTCAAGTATATTACACCTTATGTGGTATAGCTACATGCAGAAGAAGTACCAGAAAAGTAATGTTTACAACCATATTGTGTACCAGAAAAGTAATGTTTACAACCATATTGTGTACCAGAAAAGTAATGTTTACAACCATA